CTCAGCTTCTCTAAGCAGCATCTCTCATCTCTTTCTTGCACTCTTCTTTGGTTACTGACTCCTGATCTTCTATTCTATTCTTTCTTCTATTTTTCTGACTCTACTACTTCAAAGCAGAGATTTCCCAGTGTGGAGTGACCCATCTCTACCCCAAAGACACAGTTCTATCAGGCAGAACACAAATAGTTATTATAAAGCAGTCCCCAAACTATTCTCTAGTACATAGTTGTTGGGAAGCAATGTACCACAGGCATCTTTGCCCCTCAGTCAGTGCTCTTGCTTCTAAGCTGCTTTCAGAGAAATCTTTTCAGCACATTTATCTGAGGGGCTGCTTTCCTCTCAGGTCCTCAGAATAGTCTCAAGCTGCTTTTTTCATACAAATGCCCATTTTATACCCTTTTCAGTAAATAAAATTACACATCCATTCAAATTACCAGAGGGGCTATGACAAATAAGACTAAGAAGAGAAGTTGTTTCAGTGATGTGCTGATTCTTGACTTCACCTAAGGTATAAAACAGGACACCATTCTGACTTAAGGCATTTGTCAGTGTCATAGAAGATATCTTGTGGAACGTCAAATCAAAAGGTTCTCCAAATATTCTCATTCACAAATAACCTCACTTTCAGCTTCTGTGGGAGAAGGTTTTGAGAATGGGAGAAAGAGAAACTTGATCTCAAATAATCAGGAGAAGGAAACTGAACAGATTATTTGGAGGGGTTTTAGATCTGTGAAAAAGGTAAGAGATTGAACATAGGAGACATTTAGAGAAATTGAGGGATATCCAAAGGAAATCAACCTACAGATTCTTCTTCAGGCTTTTGTGAGAGAAGTATGAAAGGAAAAGTGGGATTAAGGAAGATTAAAGAGTAGGGTCCTGAAGAAAAGGACCAAAGGAGAAATAGAAGGGAATATGGGGGACAAGGCAAGGCAATAACAAGTATGCTTTGACTCATGATCCCAGAGTCAGACTGACTACTTTACTTCCTCAGTGTTCCAAGGGTACCCTAAGAAATTTGAGGATTCTCTCCTCTAGCACCATCCATTTAAGCCTCTACTAGTTTGTTTCTCCCCTTTCCATGAACTACCAGTGAATGACTAGCACCCCAGTTCCATTTAACCATTTGACATCAATTAGCTGTTACAAGGGAATATTTACTTCCAAGATATACAGGAATAGCAAAAGTACAAACATCCCCCATCCCCAACACCTTGGATGTACACCCTCCCCACCCCATCTTGGCTTCTGGAGATAGTGAGCTCACTCTCAGCACAGTCTCTACAAAGCAATAGTCTCACAAAAGTTCATTTCTAGTAAATTCATGCCTAGATGCAATGTCCTTTCCAGATGTCAGGGTCCTCAAGGTCAATCCTTGCTCCTCAGGAATTGATGCTAAGTTGGCTGCAAAATTCTGATGGCCAGAAACTTGTCCTCACCTTTCATAACCCCAAGGTCATAGTCTCCAATCCCTTCTCTTCAGAAAAGAAATGCAGAGGCAAAAGACTGAGGCTCATTTTGTGGGGCCACATATCAATCTTAATAGGGAGGGCCCGCAGCTTCTCCCCTTACAGCTGGATGCTATCACTGAAAGAGTCCAACTAAGACAGAGCAGCTGAAAGTAATGGCTGAGGTTTGATCATTAGTGCTCTTTGAAGATACTTCGGTTCTAACTACACGATCAATAAAAAGTCTTCTCTAAACAGTGTGGTTAGTAGACAGGAATCTGTGACAGAATGTCTCCCCATGCTTGTCTGTCCAAGGCAAAAGGTACAAGTAGGGTTGTTGTGGAGATAAAATGGATTTGAAGTTGAGGGGAAAATGCAAGAAGAAGGGAGAGGAAAGGACATACACCCACTTGGAACTAAAAAACAAATTTGAGGTTCTTCCAGAAGGCTGGCAGCTGTATGTTCCAAGGAGAAAGCAGCTGCTTGTCCTCCAAAGACTGATATGGTAGAGCCATAGAAACAATTAGTCAATAAACATTTACTGGTTGTTGGTTGTTGCTGTTTGTGCTTGAAGAGGACCAAAATGGTATCAGTATGTCAGGGTCAAGGTACAGCATGTACAAAGTATAATTATGGCTGATCAGTCCAATGAGAGCTTGGAAGGCTCTACCACAGATTGGGCACAAATAGTCCATATGAACATTTGGAGTGGAGATGGTTCTACATTTGTGCATTTCATATTTCTTTTGAGCTACTACGATTCTGGCTTACTCACAGAGCATGGCACCTTCTTTGATGCAGGCATGCTACACTGACTAGTCCTGTGCCAGTGTCTCCCATGTCTCCTAGTCAGTTCCATAGTTCTTTGGAGACACCTTGAGAGTGTCCTTGTATTGCTTTTTTTTTTTATGACCTCAGTGTGAGCATTTCCCTGGTGTGAGTTCTTTGTAAAATAAGTCTTTTAGGCAAATAGTTCTGGAGAAGACTTTTGAAAGTTCCTTGGATGGCAAGGAGATCAAATTAGTCAATACTTTAAAAAATTTATTTTAGGTTATTTATTTGAAGGTCAAATACTGAAGCTGAAGCTTAAGTACTTTAGCATTCTAGAGTGCCACTGATCCCTTTTATTAATCATTGCTAGCATGATTAATAAAATTATTAATTACCCAGAAAGTATTTCTCTGGAACCTTTTATATGTCACACCTCCAAACAGAAGGGCAGAGGGTCATGATTAGGTGAAGTACCAAGACTGATGAGATCTTGCTTGATAATGAAGCTTTTCCCAATCAGTTTCCTAGGACATTGTGGGGAAATCAGAGATGTCTGAGAATAGTGCAGCCAGGAGAGAAATGAGCAGAATTAACTGAAAGGTCATCTAGTAAGGGTCAGAGAAAGAAGCAAGGCATAGCAAAGAGTAGTAGTAGTAGTGGTTGGTGAGGCCCTGCTCCAATGTCCTGCAGTCCTCTAAGCAAATGAGAAAGAAAACAGTGGGACAGGATGAAGAATGATAGGCCACACCTCCAGGCCACCTTTAAAAGTGAGCTCTTTGGAAACCAGATGACACACTCTAGGCAGTGTGGAGAAGCCCAGTTCTTGAGATGCGAAGAAGATCCCTAGAGTCTTAGAACTCATGTGAAGGTGGTAGAGGCAGAGGCAGTTACCGAAAAGAAAGGGGCCAGGATTCTGGGAATTACATTGTTCTCCAGCAGGAGAGATGATGAGCTGGAAGCAACAATCCTGAAAAGTCCCCAACTACAGACCCCAAGATGGTAATCCTGTATTTCCTTTCTTCCCTTGGGAAGCCTAAAGCGCAAGAAAGTCTGTTTACTCTTTTTGGTTTTAAGTGTTTACTTTGTTTTTTATACATAGTGTTAATCATGAGCCTTTGCTAGTTTGGAGTATGTTTACTGGAAAAAAGAGGCAACTGAAGGGGAAATGTCTCCAAAGAAGAAGAAGAAGGAAAAGGTCTAACATTGTGATGTATTGTCAGGGTCTTTCTGAGTGGGGTGGAGACTGGATGGGAAGAGTGTCTTGGAGTAACATAGAGCAACATAAAGTTACTGATCATTTGAGAAAACTTCCTAGAAAAGATAGGGAACATTTATACCATTAAATCCAACTGGGTAATAAGTAGATAGTAATGGGTCCAATAGGAGTGGTTAACCAGCCCTGCTCCCCCACTCATCCCATGCCCTTACATACCCTATCTCTATCTATAAAGGCAACTAACAATGTGAAGCAGGAAGTAAGTACTCAATGAGTGCTGGACTTGGAATCCAAAGAGCCCTGAGTTTAAATCCCACCTTTGACAGTCCTTAGCTATGTGACCATGTTCAAGTCATTTAATCAGTCCATGCCTCTGTAATTTAATCTGTCCATACTCTACCTGTAAAAGGGAAAATTAATAACACCTGACTCACAAGGTTGTTGTGAGAATCAAATGAGGGAATATATGTATGTAAAGCATTTTATACTTCAAAGTTGTCTATAAATGATAGCTATTAGTAGTAGTAGTGCAAATAATAAATGTTATAGGAGCTCAGAGGACAGAGAAGGTATCATAGATTGAGACGCCTAGGGAAGACTTTATAGAGGAAGGATTACTTGAATGGAGACAGGATTTGGATAGATCTCAGCTCTAACATCCTCCGATTCTACAAAGAAAGGTTGGCAGTGTGAGGAGTGGGGGAGAGGAAGAGGGGTAGAAGGGATGAGGACGAGGAAAGACCAAAAGCCGGAGACTGAGAGAAGAGAGAGCCAGCAACATGTTACTGTTTGCCTTTGCCCACTACCAGGTACCATTTGCTGAACTGGGAAAAGGAATTCTCTCTTCACCGCTGCTATTCTTATTCATCTGCTCTCTGCTGTTTGACCTCCAGCATCTCCAAAGCAAGAGCAGTTGTTGTGATTTTGTCCTTTGTTTTTGAAGAGCACCAGGACATCAGGAAGATGATTCCATGACTTGCAAGTGAATTGGATTTAAGTGAGGGAGGGCTGTGCAAGTTGCCAGCCTCACTTTCTCCTCTGGAGCCATGTGGGTGGGTCCAGTGGCCAGATATAGAATTGAGGTAGCATGATGTACAGGAAAGGGTGCTTGATTTGGAGTCAGACAACTTGGGTTGAATATTGGCTTCACCGTTTAATAACAATAATAATAATAGTTAGCATTTATAGAGTACTTAGGTTTTCTAAGTTAAGCACTTTGCAAATATTAGCTCATTTGACACTGGGAGGTAGGTGCTATTATTTGTCATTGTTGTTGAGTTGTTTTCAGTCATGTCTGACTCTTTGTGACCCGATTTGGGGTTTTCTTGACAAAGATACTGGAATGGTTTGCCATTTCCTTCTCCAGCTCATTTTACAGATGAGGAAACTGAGGCAAACAGGGTTAAGTGACTTGCCCAGAGTCACACAGCTAGTAAGTATCTGAGGACAGATTTGAACTCAAGAAGAGGGTCTTCCTGACTCTAGGTCCGACATTCTATCAATTGTGCCACTTAGCTGCCCAGGTGCTATGATTATCTCCATTTTATAGATGAGAAAACTGAGGCAGAGGTTAAGTGACTTGCCCAGGGTCACACAGCTAGCAGGTGTCTGAGATCACCCTATCCACTGCACCACCTAGCTCTTTCATATTGTAGAAGTGTTGGTTCAGTGGGTTTACTGCCGATAAGTGAAACCCATCTACCTGGGCCTCAATTTCCTCATCTGTAAAATTGGAGTGGGTGGGGATTCAAATTAGATGACCTCAAAGGTCTTTTCCAGCTTTAAATCCCAGCTCTGGTAATCCAGAACTTTCATAAATCCTAGGAAATGTGGCACCTTAAACCTGATATTCCTAGTCTTTAAAATTAAACATCAATCATAATCGACTTAGAGAGACAGAAGAACAAAAAGTTTCACTGCTGTTATGTTCCCTAAGCATGTAAACCACGGTGGGGCACTCAGAACTTTATTGAGCACTTCTGCCACGTTTCCTTTTGAGCAAGTAGGTGCCAGGTTTTCTTGCATCTTCCTCGGTTACAATGCATCTTGTCTTCTCAGTACCTATCACTGTATTTGCAATCTGGATAGCGGTAAGCAAATCGAGAGTCACAGGTTCTCAGTGGTTTCAAGATGCCCTTCAGCCTGCTGGCTGCGCTGATGACCTCCTGGTCTGAGAGCAAAGGGTTCCCACAAAGATTCAGAGCAGAGTTTATCTCCTCTTGTTCGGGGCGGGGAAATTTCCCTTTGAGAAGCCGGGGCAGGAGCTGCTTACAAACCATCACCAGGCTCTGTTTCTCCTTGACTGCACTGCAAGAAGGAAATGGAGATCGACAGTCTGAAACGAGGCAGCTAAATATGTCTCTGTATTCCTGTTGGCTGTCTAGGGTCAGACTACCTGAAAAGATGAAGGAAACAAAAAAGTTCAGATTTTATTCAAATGCCGTCCTTCCTCATGATGGAAAGTTAACTCAAGTTTGTTAAACAGAGAATCTTTTTTTTTTTTCCTAGAGATTTTCTATCTTTGCATTGGCTTCCACAACAACTTGTTTCTCTTCTGAGGTAGGCAGGAGATTTGCTCAAAAAAAAAAAAAAAAAAAAAAAAAAAAAGGAAGTAGAAATCTCATTTATTCAGCATAGGAAATGGGGCTGAAAGGGGATTAACAAAATCCACATTAAAGGTAGCCAGAACCCTGGGATTTTAATCCTATAACTCATGCATAAAGACTGGTAGAATTCTTAGTAGGTCACCAGGAAGACAATACTTTTCTTTCCTTTTAAAAAGAGGTCTACGGATGTGAGAGACGACCAGAGCCACACCTAGGGTAGGGGCCACCAAGACTGTGCCCTGGGGCAGGAAATTTAAAGGATATAATAGCACTCAGGCTTTGCTTCCTCACTTCAACTCAGGTAAGGATGCTTAGTTTCCCTTCCCCCACCTACTTCATTGACACTTGCCCAGATTAGCTAGTTATAGCTCTGGAAATAATCCAACATATGAGTCAGATGGTCAACTGGGGAAATGATAAAAAGATGCCAGGTGCTAGGTGGCTACCTTGTCAATTTAAAAAAATTTATGATTCACTCATATATACCTCATTCATTTCCATGCTTTTTAATTTTGAAACTTTATAAAAAGCAAATGTGTCAAATTGGATTACAAAACACAGCAATGAATCAGCCAGACATTTAAAATTTAGATAAGGAATAAAAGATCTGCAATGAAAGGTTCCCCCCCCACCATACCAATCTCAGAAGGGAAAACGAGGATTTCAACGTTCAGAAGGAAAGAAAGGAGTAGGCTTGACATGAATATATCAGGACAGAAGCATGGATTGTTCTACCTGAACATAGCTCTCTTGGGACATGCTTTGGGTAAAGCATGTGTCCATGTATCACTCAACACACCATTTAGATCCGAGGACCAATAGAAATTCTAACAATTGACAGGGACTAGAGGGAGTTATATTTTCTGCTGACTCCTAAACTTTGAACGATCTTCCCTTCTGCCAAACCAAAGATGTTTGTGCCCCAAAATGAAACGCTATGAAAGATGGGCAGGTGAATCTCAGCTTCCCGCCTTACCCCTCCTCTCTACCTCCCCGGTCTTGTTAAAATTTTCCTTGACAGCTGCTCTTCAGAGTACATGCTGAGTACCTTGCTGCTTGTCAATGACGCCCACTGTGCTGGCATCTCGGATGAACAGATGCCCATTGTCAAAAATGCCAAACGTGCCAGCATCAATGCGGGTGAAGTAAAAGAAATAGTTCAAGTCATTGTTCCTCAGGGAATCCATGATGCCAATGAGCTGGTACGCCAAGTCAGCTGCCTGTTCTGCAGGTGAGCTATAGAACTGCTCCAGGGGCTGCGTGCTGGTGCTGACCAGGAGCCGGCCACAAGAGCCTAGGTATCTGGGCAAGGGCCACCCCTCTGCCCCTGGGAAAATCTAGAATAGAACAAAGAGAAAAAATTTTTTAAAAAAAATAATCACCGTTTCTTTCTATCTTTCAATTGCTTTCTTTTTCCTCTCTTTGCATAATGACAAATGAAGATTGGCTTTACAGACATGTACCCCTTCCCTCCAAATCTGTCAGCAAAATTCCCTGAAGCTCTTGGCACCATTTTCTAACTACAGTGATGCTATGTCTGCTAATGGGATATTTAAGTAAAATAAGGCAAGCTAGTGTGCACTAGTCCCTAACCTTCCTTCTTCTCCCACTCCTACTTAGTTTCATTATAATTACATTGATTAAACCTATTATTTGCCTGTAGTCTGGTTTCATCTAGGCCCTAGGCCAGTGATTTAACTAAATGTTCACAGATAAATGAGGGATGTACACACACACACACACACACACACACACACACACACACACATACACACAGATGTATAAAAATGTACGTGTGTATATATGTACATACACACATATACACAACACAGATATATACACACTATATATATATATGAAATGCGTGGGTGTTTATGCATGTGTATGTATATATATATCTATATATATGTATATGCATACACATACATACATATGTGTGTGTGTGTGTGTATCCATGAATAAAACCACCTCTACAGAGTAGGACAGGTAAATTGACATTATGTTATGTAATAAGACAAATTCATCAGGCCAATAAACCACTTTGAGACCCCCCTCATCAAAAAAAAAAAAGGGGCAAAAGTGATATACAATTCATAATGAAAATGTGTAATGGAGGCAGTATGGTTTAGTAGAAAGAAAAAAAATGTTTTTGGACCTGAATTTGAAAGCAAGTTTTTCTACTTATTACCTGGGTGAGCTTGGACAAATGATGTCACTAGGACCAGATGACCTTCTAGGTCCTCACCAGCTCTAAATCTGTGATTCTTTAGGGCATTAGGTTAGCACTTCTGCCAGGACTGGAACAATGGGGGAGTTAACGTTTCAGAATGTAAAATATCTGGAAATGAGATCTCCTATTTTCATTGTTACTGGTGGCCAGTAATTCTTGCCTCAACCCACAAGACTTTGAGTCACACAAACCAGGCCCAATCTTGAAGGCCTCACTTAAAAAAGGTCATTTTTTCTTCTTTTGAGCTTTTATACATCCTCCCAGAGTTTACTTTGAGAAAATGTCCAAATATTATATCTAAGTTTCCCCAAATGTGGATAACAAATAAGAACTCAAATTAACAAAAGCCTAGGCGTGGAAGTATTTATTATCACCTAGCTACCCCAAACAACGACAACAACGCCACAGAAGTCACTTAAAGGATTCACAAGAGCACATCAACAAACACTGAAAGCATGTGAAGAACTCTAACAATTCCCCTTGGAAGGAACTTGCTGAATCTAGGGTTGCCACCAGGGTAACCCCTTGATATTCCAGCAGATCTCTTATTCTCCCATAGGATCTTTCATAGTCCTTCCTTGTCATTGGATTCTCCCCAGAAAACAAGAGCACTTCGGGGCTGCCGAACAACCTCAAACATTAATAACCTGACCCTTTTACCATTTCAGTTTTTATATCCTTCAGTCCCTTCAAGTCACTGACAATGGTCTCCTTGCTTTTCCTCCAAAAAGATGCTCCATCTCCTGACTTCAGGCATTTTCTCTGACTGTCCCCTAAGCCTGCGATCCCTCATCATCACCTTTTGGTTTCCCTGACTTCTTTCAAGACCCACCTAAAATCCCACCTTCTACAGGAGGCCTTGCCTGATCCTTCTGAATTCCCTCTGTTGGTCATTGCCAAGTTATCCTGTATCTAGATGGACTGTATATCTGTGTGTTGTCTTAGACTGTGAGTTCCTTAAGAGCAAGAGAGCTAGTTGACTGACTATTCAGTCTTGTGGTACTTGCACTTCTTGAGAAAGGAAGTACTTTTTTTTTTAAATGCTAGATGGCAATTCCTTTTCACATTGAACCTATACCATCCAAATAATTTGCTTTAATAATGGGGATGGTTGAGTGGGAGGGGTGGTGTTAGCAAAGCCAAGTGCTTAATCCCCTAGGATATGATATACTTTTTCAGCTTCTGAGATCACTTAAGTGGGCTTCCTCTTTCTCCAAAAATGATACTACTAAGAAACTCTTCTTTTTTCAGGTCAGATATCTGAACTCTTGAAATCAGTCTGCCAAGAAGCATTTGTGTGCCAGGCACCAGGCTAAATATGGCGGATGCAAAGAAAGGCAAAAGGCAATCCCTTCTCCCAAGAAGCTCACAGTCTAATGAGGGAGATAACATGCAAACAACTATGTATAAACAAGCTGCATACAAGATAAACTGGAGATAAATCAGTAGAAGGAAGCCACTAGCGTTATGGGGGATCAGGAAAGGCTTCTCTAAGAAGATGAGATTTTAGCTGGGACTTGAAGGAAGCTAGGAGGCAGAGATGAGGAGGGAGAGTATTCTATGTTTGTGGAACAGCCACTGAAAATATCTGGAATCTGGAGATGGAGTAGGATAGTGTCACTGATGGAGAGTCACTTAGAAGAAGACTGGAAAAGTAAGAGGGGGCCACATTATGAAGAATTTTGAATGCTAAACAGAGGATTTTATATTTGATCCTGGAGAAAGAGTCACTGGAGTTTATTGACTATGTGATCAGACCCATTATTTAGATAGATTCATTTGACAGTTGAGTGGAGGATGGGCTGGAGTGGGGAGATATTTAAGACACAGAGACTAAACAGCATGCTATTGCAATAGTTCAGGTGTGAGGTAACAAAGGCCTGAACTAGGTTAGTGGCAATGTCAGAGGAAAGAAGGAGGCTTCTTTGAGAGACTTTATGACGGTAAAATAGACAGGACTTGGCATGATTGGATATAGGAGGTGAGAGGGAGGAGTCAAGAATGATACCTAGCTTGAGAGTCTTTGAAGATGGTGGTTCCCTTGATAGTAAAAGGGAAATTCACAGGCAAGGAGAAAGATGGAGTTCAATTTTGGACATGTTGAGCTTAAGAGGTCTGTGGGCAGGTTAGGAGATAGGTTAAGGCTAAATAAGATCTGAGAATGACCAGCATAAGAAAGGATCATTAAAACCATGGGAGTTGATGAGATTACTAAGAGAAAAAGTATAAAGGGAGAACAGAAGAAGGCCCAGGACAAAGCCCTGGGTGACACCCACTGTTAGTGGACTTGACCTGGATGAAAATCCAGGAAAGGAGACTGAGAAGGTCTGGTCAGACAGGCAAGAAAAGAATGAGGATAAAGCAGTCACAGAAACGGAGAGAGGAGAATGGCAAGGAGAAGAGGGTGACTAACAACTTTAATAGGGGCAGAGAGGTCAAGAAAAAATGAAGATTTAAAAAGACCATTAGATTTGTCAGTTAAGAGATCATTGATAACTTTAGCACGGGCATTTTCAGTTGAATGATGAGGTTGGAAGCCAGACTATAGGGAGTTAAAAAGAGAGAGAGGAAAGAAGTCAGAGGCATTGATTATAGCTAGTCTTCTCAAAGGGTTCATCGTACTTAAGGCAACCCCCAATGCTAGTGCTATCCAGGAAATATCTCTTTGGCTAGATTCCAGGATCATCCTGCCCAGGAATTCAAAATATCTCTTCCTCTTCATAGGAGTTTCAGGTGTTAGAAGCATTGTCCATAAACTCTACTCTTGTCCTGTGTAGGCAAGCATATGTCTGCTTCTTTCATGTGTTTCTGCAGGAACTCAATCACTGCCTGAGCTGTTGCCATTTCTTGGCCTAGAATGACCATTCTCAAGAACATTCCTCTCAAGCCACATGGGCAAACACATGTCTACCTCAGTCATGTGATTCTGTCACAAGTCACTATCAACTACTCTGGGGTGTAGAAAAGTGAAAGGGAAAAATGAAAGCATCTCTTTCCCACCCCCCACTTAATAGTATTTTATTTTTTCCAATTACATGTAAAGATATTTCTATTTCAACATTAATTTTTATAAGATTTTGAGATCCATTTTTTTCTCTCTCTCCCTCCTTCCCTCCCCTTCCTCTTCCCCAAGATATATTTCTACATATTTCTACATTAGTCATGTTGTGAAAGAAAAATCAGAAAAAAAGGTGAAAACCATGAGAAAGGGGAAAAAAGAGAAAATCATATGCTTCGATCTGTATTCAGACTCCATAGTTCTTTCTCTGGATGTGGATAGCATTTTCCATCATGAGTCTTTTGGAGTTGTCTTAGATCATTGCACTGTTGAGAAGAGCTAAGTCTATCAAAGTTGGTCATTGTATAATTTTGCTGATCCTGTGTACAATGTTCCCCTGGTTCTGCTCGCTTCATTCAGCATCAGTTCATGTAAGCCTCAGGTTTTTCTGAAATCTGCCTGCTCATCATTTCTTATAGCACAATAATATTCCATTACATTCATATACCACAACTTGTTGAACCATTTCCCAATTGATGGGCATCCCCTCAATTTCCACTTTTTTGTCACCACAAAAAGTGCTGCTATAAATATTTTTGTACATGTGGATGCTTTTCCATTTTTTATGATCTCTTTGGGATACAGACCTAGTAGTGGTATTGCTGGGTCAAAGGGTATGCACATTTTTATAGCCCTTTGGGCATAGTTCCAAATTGCTCTCCAGAATGGTTGGATCAGTTCACAACTCCACAAACAATGCATTAATGTCCCAGTTTTCCCACATCTTCTCCAATATTTATCATTTTCCTTTTTTGTCATATTAGCCAATCTGATAGGTGTGAGGTGGTACCTTTAATTTGCATTTCTCTAATCAATAGTGATTTAGAGCATTTTGTCATATGATTATAGATAGCTTTAATTTATCTAAAAACTGCCTGTTCATATCCTTTGACCATTTATCAATTGGGGAATGACTTGTATTCTTATAAATTTGACTCAGTTCTCTATGTATTTTAGAAATAAGGCCTTTATCAGAGACACTGACTATAAAAGTCTTTCCCAGCTTTCTGATTTCTTTCTAATCTTGGTTGCATTGGCTTGTTTGCGCA